CACTCAAGGGGGTTCTTGTCGTTCTTAAGGAGTAAGGAGATAACTGCTTCACGCATAGTAGGTGGTAGGGCCTTCAATAAGATCGACTCCTTGAAAACCAACAGTAACAAAGGGGAGAGTTGTCTTGAAAACTTATACTCATGAGACCCATATTGTGATTTGGAGATAAGATGCTCAGCCTGTCTCGTTGATAAGAGATCAAACTCTATCTGTAGTGACATACGCCTTTTCCTAGAGTCTGTCGAAGGTTGATGGCTATGTAACCTATCTAGCTCAAGAATCTCATCTGCCAATTCTTTAAGTCGGTTACTTTCCTCTGACTAGCACAATATGAGATGACCTGACCTCGTAAATACACCTTTAAGGACTCCCAAATAGTTAGAAAGACATTCCAGGCATTTGATTAATGTCTAAAAACAATGAAATTTCAGATGCAATAAAACTAGTAAAAGTGTCGTCTGACAGAAGCAGAGGGTTGAGTCTCCAAGGGCGATAACTGAATTGTGTATCTGGGATGCACATTGTCATAGTTAAAGGGCAGTGATCTGAAATGACTATGGGTCCATAACCACATCCAGTTATAAGGGGAAGTAGTCTTTTGTCCAAAAAAAAAAAAGTCTATATGGGAGTATGTGTTATGAACTGGGGTAGAAAAAGGAGTAACTCCTGGAAGCAGGATTACGAAAATGCCACACATCCACTACTCCATATGATTCAAGAAAAAGCTGGGTAGAGCATGTCGACCCAGACAGGGACGGCGATCTGGCGAACTACGATCTAACACAGGGGAGAGCGTACAGTTCATGTCAACGCCAAGGATAAGGTAGTGCGACGTCATGTTTGGTAAGCGGCAGAAAAGACTGGTGAAGAACATTGAATCGCCCAAATTTGGTGCATAAACATTGGCCAAGATGACTGGAAATTTGCCCTACAAACGATAACAGGTTCAGCTTCTACACTTGTCATCGTAAACGGTGTATTTCTATCGATTAATATAGCTGCCCCCCTAGCCTTCGAATGGAAATTAGAATGAGATATCTGTCCTGACCTCTCCCCTCTCAATCCCCTCTCTCTAACCCTAACCCACAATCAATCTAGGAAAGTAATCCTCAACTTTATGGATGAGCTGGGCCTGTGTGATGTCTGGAGAGAGTTTAACCCAAATAAGAGAGAATTCTCCTGCTATTGAGCAACTCATAAAACATTTTCACAACTAGACTTCTTTTTGATTTCTAGGACTTCACTTTCTTATGTTGAGAAATGCTATTACAGTAGCATAATAATCTCTGACCATGCTACAGTGTCTATGGCTACAGGACCCATAGTTTATCCGCTTCATTGACCAACTGACAGAATTGTTCTTCCAGGTCAACACGTCTGAAGCTTCACCCTTAGTTAGATGGGAAGCTTTTAAAGCTTTTATCAGAGGGCAAATAATTAGCTATTCCAGTTTTAAATCTAAACAATTCAAAAACAAAATGTTGGAAATTGAAAAAGAAATTAAATCATTAGAGGCCAGTGGTGCTTTCAGAGTTACAGGAGGCCCTCGCGTGTATGAAGGGGGGGAGAGTGCAGGCCCTTATGGGCTGGTATGTACTGATTCATGGACGGTGCTTCTGTGCCCTGGGTTAGAAAAGGCCACTACATCTCCATTACCCAAAATCTTTATTTGTATGCAGATTCTTTGAAAAACCTGTTAAAAACTGCCCACAACCCATTTTCAAGAACACTATTAAGGTGTGGTACAACAGGCAAGCACACTTAAACATAATGTTAGATATATCCGGTTTCACACCAATGTGGGGAAACCACAGATTTTCACCAGGTAGAGGTGACCCTGGCTTTAAACTCTGGGCAGAGAGAGGGATCAGCAAAGTTATGGATATGTACAACGACAACAATATTCTTTATAGCTTTGAGGATTTGCAACTTTTTTAAATACCTACAAGTTAGGAATTCCATTCTAACAGCATCTAAACAATCCCCTCATAAACCTCCTCTGTCTAGTGTTGAAAAGGCCGTACTAGATCATCTTCAAGGCCGGAGCCAGATATCCTTCCTGTATAAAA